TCTCCACCTAGACTCTCTTATAAGAAAGCAGTACGAAATTGATTCCTTAATAATGAAAAGCGTTTCACGTTTCAACAGTGATGATAAACGAGCGATAGATATCATCGAAACGTCGGCTCGTCAACTTGACGACAACCATTACGAAGTCGGTTTACCTTGGAAAAAACTACTTACCAACTATCATACCTGATAGCTACCCACAGGCATTATCTCGCTTCAGAGCATCTGGAACGACAAATGTCTAAAGACCAAACATTTGCCGCAGGTTACCATGACTTCATAAATGGCATTGTTACTAAAGGGTACGTCGAAGAATGCGACCCAAATACGTATTATAAACGAATGCCATCGAACGTTTCATGTGTTAACCCGGACGATACTATTCGTTGGTACCTGCCCACCTTCGGAGTATTTCACCCCCAAAAAAATAAGCTACGAGTGGTGCATGATGCGGCAGCAAAGACAAAATGGTGTAAGCCTCAACAGCCTACTCCTACAGGGACCCGATTTATTAGGTTCTCTATTAGACATTTTATTTCGTTTCAGAGAGGGCGCTGTGGCCCTAAATGCCGACATTAAAGAAATGTTCCCTAAATAAAAATCGCTAAAAAAGACAGAGACGCCCAACGCTTCTTGTGGCGTAACAAAAACGGTATTCTCGTTGAGTACCGCATGAAAGCTATGATATTTGTGTAGCCCATTCATAAATACATTAAGAATAAAAATAAGGATATAATATCCTGCAGCAAAAGCATAGTTGAAGATACTTATGGACGATTACCTGGGTAGCCAAAATGTCACTGATGCCGCGCAGGTGGCATTGACATAATTATGGTGCATAAAGCATTTTCGAAATGCGAGCATGGACTTCGAATAATTCACAAGCTCTCTCTCTTGTCCCCAAAGAACTCAGAAGTGAAGCAACCTCAGACGTATACTTACCACCAAACAATGATGTTGGTATTCTAGGCGTTAAATGGAATCCATTCCACGACTCGTTCAGCTTTCGTACAGGACTTCATATGCCTACTATCCAGCGTTATGAAAGTTTATGACCCACTTGGCCTACTAACGCCTATTATAATTTCGGGCCGTATTTTGTTCCAGAAGTTATGGTGAGAAGGCATCGACTGGGATACCCCAGTACCTAATAAATATGTTTCTGAATGTACAGAATGGTTCACTCAATTACAGAGTGCCGCTAGTATCAAAATTCCGCGTTGGTATATGTTTAAATCAGATCCAATGGATATTCAGCTACACATAGTGGCTGATGGTGGTGAACAAGCATACGCCTGCGTAGCTTACTGGCGTTTCAATTACAATGATGGCTTCGTCTCTACGGCTCTTATAGGTAGCAAAGCTCGAGTTGCACCATTGAAACCGCTCTCTATTCCCCGCCTGGAGCTACAAGCGGCGCTTATTGCTTCTCGATTCGCACAAACTATTTTACGCGCTCACCGTCTTAAACCCTCCGCAACTATTTATTGGACAGACTCTACCACCGTTCTTAAATGGATCCGAAGCGACGCTCGCACATTTAAACCTTTCGTTGCTCACAGGTTGGGAGAGATACTGGAAACCACCAATCCGTCCAATTGGAGATGGATTCCTACCTCTCTCAACGTAGCCGATGATGCTACTAAACCAAAGAAAATATTTTTGTCTCCTTCTCATAGGTGGTTTACTGGCCCACCATTTCTTTTAGAATCACCATTCTCTTGGCCGTGTGAAATTACCAGAGACGAGGTGAGACCTACCAATTCCGAATTAAAATCAGAACTTGTGGGGCTGCTCTCCTATGTCCCACTACCTGACCTTCCCGTACCTAACGCTACGCGATTCAGCTCGTGGCTACGTTTACTACGCACCACTGCCCGTGTTCTCCAAGGCGCACGATTTTTTATGGCTTAAAGTGTCTCGATAATAATTTTAAATTCTAAATTATTTTTAGATGGCAGCATCACATCGCCCTCCCAGCTACATGCAAGAGACATCATACAAGCCGAAAAGATGTTATTTCAAGTAGCTCAAAAGGATAGCTTCCCTGAGGAGCTGAGAGCCATACAAACTATGCAGCCCATGCCCAGTAATAGCCGTATTACAACACTCGCACCAGTACTCGACGGAGATGGCTTACTTCGCGTGGATACCCGTACCAAGTCTGCTCCAGGAGTAAGCGAGAACGCAAGATCACCAATCATCCTGGACGGTCGCAATTACAGCGTACGACTCTTAATATTACATCAGCATATTCAATCAGCACACTCATTCAATGAGCTCATCCTAAATGAATTAAGGCAGAAGTTTTGGATTCTAAGGGCAAGAAGCACTATCCGAAGCGTAGTAAATACTTTTCTGCAGTGCCGACGATGGAAAGGCAAAACAATCAACCCAAAAACCGGCGACTTACCATCACACCGGTTAGATCACCATAAAAGGCCCTTTACACATGTCGGCCTCGATTACTTCGGCCCGATAATCATAACTATACATCGACGCCACGAAAAACGGTACGTTGCGCTTTACACGTGCCTAGTGACGAGAGCAGTACATCTAGAAATGGTCACCTCGCTTTCATCTGATGCGGCCATTATGAGCCTGAGACGTTTCATAGCTCGCCGAGGATCTCCATCTACCATACATTCGGACAATGGTACCAACTTTGTCGGCGCCTCCCGTGAGCTACGAGCATTATACAACGACTCAGTAGAAGAATTTGCGACAACTCACAAAATCGAGTTTCATCCCACCAGCATCTCCGTTTATGGGCTGGGAGAGGCTGATACGTACTGTCAAAACCGCCCTGAGAGCCTGTCTAAACGGTAAAATATTAAAGGAAGAAACCTTAACAACACTCTTACTCGAAGCAGAAGCCATCGTTAATGCCAGACCGCTCACGTACGTCCCATCATCACCACACGCACCAGAAGCACTAACGCCATTCCATTTATACTGGGTTTCATCAACAGAACCTTGGACATGCTCGTTAACAGATTTGGTACGAAGATGTGACTTGATTGCCGACCATTTTGGGCAATGGCTGCGTGAATATTTATTAACCAAAACAAAGAGGCGTTAAAAGTATGTGAGGGTGATGTTGCTTATCGCGATCTCTCCCTCGTGGCCTCTGGCCCCTAGGGAGAATAGTAAAAGTTTACCCAGGCCAGGACGGAGTGGTCCGCGTAGCGGACGTCTTCACCAAAGGCGGTACGTTGCGCAGACCAGTCCGCAAACTAATTTTATTAGAGACTGAGCCTCGACCGGCCGCCACCAGTTGTTAGTGTTCCACTGGGGATCCGGTATATTGGCGACCGGCCGATGCAAACTCTTTAGACGTTATTGTACTTTTTTATATACATTTACTTTTAGAATATTCTTATTATTTGTAATTTTATATTTTTTTGACACATTGATTTATTGTTCCTTGCTCGCTGTTCAATACATATATTTCGCTACTAAATTCCGTGTCTACATCATTTCATCACCTCATCACAGTCCACCGCTCCGTAATAGATAGATATCACGAATTATTTTCCCGCATTATTAAAATTTTAGTAATATATTAGTTGTTTTGCAAATCGTATAAACGTGATCTACTCTACTCGGCCTTAGAGATCGAACGCTAAATTTGTTCCTGTCGATAGGCGAACATTCAATTGACAAGTTAACTTACTTACTTTCAAGGGTAGTAAATGAATTTTACTTAAATTCAAATTATCTAGACTCGAAACAAATTGTTTTCTATACGTGACGATGAATTAATTTAGAATATTTTGTCATAATTTAAGATTTTCCGTCGAAATAAAGTAGCAACCTTAATCGTGACAAAATTAATATATAACAAACACGAGAGTAGACCCTTTTTTATCGACTGAGAAATGATAAATAAAAATATGTTCAAAATTGGTGTAGGTAATATATAATTGGCCGTATTCTGCGACATCGTCCGCGTGAACTCGTAGATAAAATAATACTTGTCTTACTAGTTTAGAATTAACCTATCCTTGTATCAAAGTTTATTCAAATCCATTTAGTAGATTTTGCATAAAAGAGTGACAAACATCCACCTATCCAGATATCCTTACAAACTTTTGTATTTATAATCGCAGTAGGATATAGACATATCCAGATTTGACAGTCAAATCATTTTCTTTTTTAAACATATTTAAATTCATGATCGAGGCTTAACGCGGCACGATTACAGGTAAATAGTACTTAAATACTTGGTTTTTAATGTTTTTTTCCCCAATGTTTGTTTGTTTCTAAAGTTACATAGAAATGCTATCTCATTTACAAGCCTTCCTGTACAAGCCTCTCTCTCACTCTGTACAAGTAAAGGCAGTGTAACGGAACCCCCATGAGATGGAATTAGGATCTCAAAAATGTTATATACAGCCAATGGATACAGGTGGGGTAGTACGCTAGCACTCTAGGGAGGTAATAGAGCAATTTGTGGCAAAGTAAGGGATATTTAATATTCAGCAGTAGATAGAAGATGCAGTGTCTATAGAAGCATATTTTTTTAAATAAATAATAAATAAGTATAATAAAAACATAGGACATATTATACAGTGCTATCTTTTTTATTGTATGTTTTTATGCAAATTAGAATGGCAAATAAGCTGACGGCCCACCTGATGGAAATTGGTAAACGTTGTCTATAGACATGAGCAGTACCATAGACATAACAGAGTATACTGTTTCGCCCATAATACTGACCATGCGTTGCCATTTCTGACGAGTAGGGTGTTCTGCCTCTGTACTCTATACTATGATTACTGTTGTACTATGTGACATAAAAAAATCTTTTTTAAATATGAAAACCCTAATACAACTCATGTATAAAAATGTTTGTAATATGCGAGTATCGAACTTGTAAGCATCGGAAGATAATGTAGTATGGTCACTATGGTCGACATAAATACAAATAAATAGAATGTTAAATCTTACTAATATACAATAAATACATTGAATATTATAGTAATACCTATATTTACCTGTTGTTTATTGTCTTTGGAGAAAGGCAACATTGTGGAAACGTGGAACATTATCTCGTGTCCTTGGTGCATCGTGTAAATGGAATGGCTGCCCGTCATGTCACCTGCAAGTAGAAATGACGTTGAGATGCTTGCATGCATTTATTGTACTGGGGAGCGGGTATGTCGTTCTTTAAATTTAGAACACAACGTTTATTTTGATGTTTTCAAATTACATTAAAAACAGAAGGTCGTTCTTAATTTGATTAATTATGAGTATTGTGGTGCTTAAGTACTGTTTATGGGAGGTATTTATACTTTAATTACTAGTTTAATGGTTTTAATTACTAATTAAATACTTTCCAAGCAAATGTTGTAACATTGGAGGTACCTTTGATTGTGTATGCTGACTGTTACTTTTTTTTTAATGGATGACGATGGAATGGTAGCCCCGCTTGTGTTATCGGTATACGCTGGCGAGGCACTAGTGAGAAATGATAGCTAAGGATGAAAGCAAGTCAGTTAGCCTATCCTAACAAATACAAGAATTAACCACGATAGTTTCCAGGAGAACAACGTGGGGATCGACCTGATTGGATATATTGCTAGCAATGGCGATGTTAGACCCCATTATTCTCAATCCATTTTCCTCCATAAAATGTTATTACACGACTGCGTATAATTAAAGATTGTGTCCTATAAAAAAAACAACTTCAAATGTGACAATACCAGTTAATTTAGTCTAAAAATTAAATTACGGAACCGATTTTGATAAAATTTCTATGGGGCCAATATGTAAGTATATCTTTTCAGATAAGAAAGGAATTTTTCAAATCGTTTTTCATTCTGAAAGTAAAAGAATATTCAACAGACATGCTACACATATATAGAAAATTGTGAAACAACGAAGTCTCAGTTTCATTATTAGAAACACTATTTTAGAAATTACTTCAGAACTTAATATCGTTTCGAGCATCGTGAGAGTTGTTATTATGATGAAAAGTCCGAGATATGGTTATGAGGTACGAGATAGATGGTAAAAATTGCCTTACCTTTGACGTCGAGTCCTCCACGAAATCGGTTCCAGCTTCGTAATCGAATTTTGTCGCCCAAAAGTGAAATAAACCTGTCCCATTTCTCGTCTCCCTTCTCTGAAAGATTCCGTGGAATTTAAATTATCCCTTATAAAAATGTTTTTACAGCTTTAAATAATGTACCTTACTCTTTCTGAATTCCTTACCATTCGAGAGCATTTCGTCGTCAGTTTTCTGGCCTGGGTTCATTAAAATAACACCTATTTTGAAGTTCACCGATCCCTCTTGCTCTTCCAAAAGCAGTATGTCTTTTTGAAGTTCGGCGCAAGTAATCTGTAATAGATGTTGACAGTCAACCGAAATCAGATACATATTACATATTGAAAAATATATAATGTTTCTTTGATACACAAAATTCATGTGTTTAATGATAATTAAGCGCATTTATTACTTTGTAGGTATAAAATAATAAATAGTCCGCGTGAAGACATAATTTAAAATATTATTTATTATAATTTAATGTAAAACAGAATTTAAAATATTATTTATATTATTTAAATAAAACCATGTACTACTACTGGCCTTATTGCTGGCATTATATTACTTCACCTGCGACCCATTGTGGTTTATTTTTGATGAATTCATCATAATGACGCAACTGACCTGCTTTCATTCTCACCAATCATCACTCACTGTTACCGCGAGGTACCAGCTTATAATGCGTTATCATTATATTTCATTTCCATCTTTATCAAAAAAGAGCCACCTGGTCAGCGCGAAAACAGTAGGGCAATATCCTTTTTTAAAAGGAAGAGTCTCGTGTCCAGTTGCGGGTTGTTTGTGGGATTGTTAAAATATTTCTTCGAAAAAAATTTATTTATAGTTAAAAAGGGGTATAGAATTTTCTATTAGAGATTTTTTGCTGATTTATCTCCTAAACGTTTTTTCATTGTCGGTTTAGTGAACGTCGATCGGGATCGTGAAGTTCCATGAAAGCGGAAGCGGAAATGATTAGCCCCTATAGAATGGCCCATAAAACAGATAACGTCGTCCATTAACCATTAAGGGTCGTTTGGGCATCATGCTTGTGTTTTGACTTATTTATCTTATTTAATATTACAAAAGAGAATGTTGGTAAAGATTTATAGATCTGTTTGTTATTGAATTTAACGGATTTAAACGATACTTGGTATACAGATAGGGGATATTTAGAATTAACAGGATTTACATTTTAACTTACTTAGACAAATTCCTATTCCACATTAATAGATAAGAACAAAAAAGCAATCGACGCAGTTGCATGTCAACATATTTTATTTATTAATTTACACTTTATTACACTATTTATAGAATGATAAATACATTTAACTGTAACATATGTTAAAAGTACCTACTAACAATACAAAGTAATCAGTTGGTATTTATATTCTTCATCTATCATTTGATTCAGTTATAATTAGTTCCAATTACCTTTTAGCACCGTCAAAAACTATCAAATTATTTATGTTACTCGTATCTATATTTATAAAGGTTTACGTTCATGCCACATTGGATTTCAAATTCAGTGCTACGATCTTTTCAATTATTATTTTATTACTATTGTTAGAAGGTATTGCGTACCTGTAATTATGATTTATTATTTTATTACAGTTAGTAGGTAGTGTGTAGGCACCTGACTGATCAAGTTTGCTACGCGTGGTTACTCAGCAGAATAATTGGACCACAACACTGAAATATTGAAAGTACATAGTCGAGCTCGTTGAACAATAATATTTGAACCATGAACTCGGAATAGTAGATATTGTTAATGGGCTTGTAATTAAATGTGGGTCTTAAAATAGAGAAATGGCCGGCTAAAATATATCATTTGAATTAAGAATGATCTCAATTTTGACGTTGATTAAAATACTGATATATTGATGAGGGAATTCAAGTAGGAGAAAATTAGGACTTACAAATATTTAAATTACTTTTCCGTCAATATAAAACTAATCCAAATCAGACGCTTCCAAATAGTTCATATTTCAGTATCTCAATTATCCACTAAACAGTATCCTTCTAATAAAACGAACCTGTTTCGCCTTTATAATATTAGTATAGTAGGAGGCTTCTAATATTATAGATATGAAAGTTTGTAAATATGTTTGGATGAACCTAATCACATTTACACGGCTGCACGGATTAGAATTAAACTTTGTACACGGATAGGTTATATTTTAAAGTTATGTCTTTTAATCCGCCAGTAAAGCCGTGAGTAAAACTGTGCAAAGTTTGAAAGAATAAAATGGTATATTTTCTAACCTCTCTCGGCACTTTGTCGACTCTCTCCATAGCAGGAAACTGGGCCAGGATCTGTTTCACCGTCGGTCTTGTCGGCGCTTGCCCTCCGCCAGTGTTCCACGCGCTCGGTGGTAGGTATATTTTATGAGCACCCTGTATTGAAGAAACATAATTGCCTTCGTAATTGAAATTAATAAGTCATTATTACAAAGACTAGTTTCTATTTTAAGGGTGAAATACGACAGTGTAATTGGGTAGTAACTGGATGTCGAGCTATACTGCTTTAGGCTACAGTAATTAATAGCTAACTATGAGAGGTATTATGGGTATCACAGTATATTCTACGATCTCCATGGTGCTATTTTCTTTATATGAAACACAAAATGCTAATCATGCCACTAGCTTATTTGACGATGGGAGGCTACGTTGTCGCCAATAAATGTAAACACCCATGGATTTCATGAGGACTAATGGGTTGTATCTTATATAATATTAATACCCAATTTCCTTGAGGCGAGTCGTTGGCTTGTTTGCCATTTTTAGTTAAATAAAAAAGTTCAGGTAAATATTTTTTTGTTTGACAATTTAATTAATTAAACAAGTGGTTATTGAAATTATAAGTAGGTAATTACTGGAGAGGAATTAATACCTATAAACAGTTTTGTGGATGAATTGTGAAAAGTAGTACTTAGAAGCATAGATAGATTTTTATTGTTTCCCTCAAAAGATTATAGTAGTAAAATTGTTATAGATACAAACAATTACAAGAAAATATCACAGTAAAAAAAACATAGCCCTACCGCTAAAAGCAATCTCTTCCAGCACAAGTACGAACCCAATCTATTTAATCTTATGGTACTATATCTAAGTTAGCAAGTTGCTGAACTAAGTTCCCAGAGTGGGGTCGAGGTAATAAAGTAGGAATAACGTGTGCGAAAACAGCTGACGTGTGAAATGATGTCAGTGTAAATGCGTCGGTCCTTCTCACCATTTTGTTGAAGAGTATCGCTCGTAAAAGTCCAGCGCCGCCTTCCTGGACCACACTTAATAAATATGGCTCCCTGTTGCCATCCACTCCTATGTAATTCTGGTGCACTAAAACAAAATAATATAGAGGATTTAGTAATAAGTAAAATCTTACTCATACTATGAAAAACCACCTGTACTCCTCAATACTGCCCGCTTGAATTATAACATTAATATTGTATTGTATTTATGTATCGAATATCTTTCAAATCGATTCAACTGTTTAGATAATTGAGTAACACTTCAAAACATCTAAACATCCTAATATTTTACAAACTTTCTTTGTAGGATACGAAAGAAGTTTCGATGTTTGTTCAATATTTTTAATTGTGTTTCACAGAAATCCGACTTCAATTGGAGCAAAACCAGTTTTGTTGACTTTAAAACTAAACTACTGAGCCGATTTTGATAAAATTTCTGTAAATAGATATATTTATTTATTTAAACTTTAATGCACAGTAATATTTTATGTACATTTGGGAAACTTAACATCTGACGGTATTAACAGGAATATTTTTCATCATATTAGCCGCTAACTGTCCACTCCTGAACATAAGTCTCCCATTTTGGGAGGGGGGGGGGGTTGCTACGTTTTGCAGGCGGATTAGCAATCGCAATTAGCGTTACTCCTTCTTACGACACACACAGGAAAGGAAGGGTGGCTTATTCTATGCCGGGACCACACGACAAGCATTGTAATTCACGATAATAAAATTTTACTCCTGTGATTTAAATATACTCCCATGATAGGGTTTTTTTTTAATATGATTTGTATGTAGCGTAAAAATCTTATTATATAGACATTTAACTAATATCTAAGATATAAAAGGTAAAAGTGGAAGGAAAACCTCAATATTATGTATGTAAAACAAAATATTGTTAGTTCCCAATTCCCATGATACTCGTAAAAGTGTTCTTTGTTGATCTGAAAATTAAATAACTATATATTTAATTTTCAGATCTTCGAGATAAACTCATTTTGTAATTTTAAAAATTTCTGTTTGACAACCAACATTGATAAGTATAAACCGTAAAGCATCAAAAAAAGTATATTCGTACTTAATGTTCATTGAGGAAAGAAAGTGACAGATTGCCAAAATGTGATGACAAAAATCTTAAATAACACGAACTCAGATTATATATTCATATAAAGGTGTCTCATTACAAATGCTTCTTTAAAAACAGGTTTTTTTTTATTCATGTGTGCGTAAATCGGGTTATGTTACGTATATGCGAAAAATGTATATTATAAAGTTAAATTAAAAAATAAAAACAATACAGAATTCTTACAAATATATTGGAAAGAACAAGATATATATTATGTATAATGATTCATAATGATGTTTATCTTTACTAAATAATTTAATTTGTACATGTGTTTAAAAACATGTTTGTTATTAAACCACTGAAAATGACCTCCATTTTAATTATTAAATTTATAAGCTACAATATAAATATGCATGTGTCGCATATGCATATTTATATTGTATCAGAAAAAATAGTTTCAAAAAGAAATATAAAAAATCCACCTTATCTGGAAAATTAATAATCCAATTACTTGCAGCACTGAACAAGCGCGTTTTGCTGTATATTGCCTAATTAAAAAAAATAGTTAGCCAAACGTCAAAATTTCTACTTTTGACTCGTTTTTTTATACTCGATGCTCTATCAATATACTTTAGATTATACAATATTCCTAGTCTAAGAAAACGAATCGTACTTTCTTCCCAGTAATACGAGCTTACTGCTTTATACTATAATTTTTATATACTTACTACGAAATTATAATATAACTTGTTCACATACTTCCTTCAATAAAAACAAAATACAAAATTTTTATGACTGTTAATAATAAGTATAATTTTATATAAACTTATTTTTTATTGATTTTATTATTTTTAAAAGGAAATCATTTATTACTTACTCATCTATATAATTTTCCCTCATCTCATCAGCATTTAGATTAAATTGTAATAAATTGTTAATGAATAATATAAACTTACGTACTTATAAAATTATTTGAATTCCGAATTAAATTATGCAATGAATTTTACTTTTAGCGCGCTATTTCAGTTTTAATATTTGGCAAATTATTATCAATAAATAATAATAAACTCGTGTACGTATCTATCTAGTACATATTTTTTTTCTGTTAGGATATTTTGAAATAGGATTTTATTTATTTATATGTAATGAAATTTCGCTTTGGCGTGCAATTATTATTAATCTGATAAGAAGCTTGAATTCTATATGAATAGGTATTCCATAAGGAATTCCGTTAAAGAAATAAATACAGGTTAATAAATTAAGCCCGCGTCACTTCCAACAAAAACCCCCTTTTGTATGAAATCTATGCAATCAGTTAATTGAATTTAGAAATATTATACTTTAAAAAGATCTCAGTTCTTTTTTGATAACTATCTAGATATGATTATGGATAGAAGCATATTATAAGTAGTTATACGAGACTATGAATGTTCATTAATTTTATAGCACTGTATTTCTAGGTGGTTGCAAAGATTTTTTTCAGTTTCGGAAATATAAGGGTAGTGCCGACTCTTAATTAATAATGTAGTGATTACTTACTCCGTGGCCCCGCTAGCTGTTATGCGAAAAGATGTATAGATGTACTTAAGTAGGCACTTTTTTTGGATAGAAATAATTTTTTAGGATAGAAAATGGACAGATCTCACTGTTCCGTAAAAGTATTGGCTACATGACTAGTGAAGTTATAAATCTTATTTTATTTATTGTATTTTTATTCAAAAATTTTGAATACAAATATTTACATTGAAAGTTACAATTAAATTTTGAAAGTTGTGCGCGCCTTTCATAGGTACTTGTATGAGCTTTAACTTTAAGATAAATTATTATAAAGGGTCTTAATAAGAGCAATTGAAGCCAAAACAAATTTTTAGAATTATGTTTATTTCTCAGTTACAGCAAAAATTATTACATTAAATGTTAGGTGGTTATCGTAGTGGTTTCTGAAGGTTTGATTTAGAATCTAGTGTATGTTTTATATTGATATGCTATTTAGATATAGTCTATTTTATTAGTTAATAATCCCTAGGTACAGAGTTGCGGGCAGAAGCTAGTCTAGTTACTTGCTTTAAGTTTAAACCAGATAATATTTGTCCAAATAAGTTATTGTTTATACTTATATTATGGATCTGTATTGTTTAAAACCCAGACGTCCTTCAGTAAGTACTCTGTACTTAATCATTGAGAGATCTTAGACACGAGTGTACCTAAATTGTTTGTTTATGCAAAACTCAACGCCCCCACTTTTAATGATCTGTCTATTTGGTGCCCACTTGTTGTTGGTATTGGTTTGTTTGATGCTCTGGTAAAACCTATTATATTAATATTATATTTAAATATTTTTATATTCATTCATAAAATATACCTTTTATTCCTAAAATGATAACGTAAACGAAAAAGCCTACTATTATTCTAAATCTATAGCTAACATATTTCTTTATATGAAGTATATTTATACTTCCAACATTCTAGCAATAGAAGAAAAAACTTAAAATTGTAACTGAGGTTCTAATAGACCACGCACAATATAAATTGGTAGAGGGTCTCAAATTACGCATAAGAGATGTGTGTAATATAACGTAGATGGTAAGAACGGAATTCCCTAAATTCTCACGAAAATGGAGATAACGGGATCGCATGGTTAAAGCCGCAGGCAATGGCTCGTTATAATATTTGGTATGCAATATTAATTTCAGATTTCAACTGTACACATTTCATAAATGCTCGCCATCTATTTATAGGAGTAACAAGTACATTTACTCTGTAAAGAAAAGAAAAAAAACATACAAACGAAAAGAAAACCTCCTCCTTTTTTAAGTCAGTTGAAAATACAGCGATTTCAAGCATTATACATTTAATATAAAACCAATATGGAGTAAATACTATTAATTGTAAAAAGAATGATTAAAAATCGGTTCAGAATCGATGAAGTAATCGAATAATCTATACTAATATTCGTGTAATAAAGTGGAAGTGATTGTTTGTTCGAATACGCTAATTTCTAGAAACACCAGTGGGAATTGAAACCTTTTTACATTTGTTAACTTATTTATAAGCTATTATATAATATAATTTTAGCTAAATTCTTGAAATAGGTGTGATTATCTAAAAACAAATTATTACATTTATTGGAGGCTTTATGTTTTTATGGATAACATGGATAGTTTATTACTTGGTTATTATCAGCACAGTGGGGCGCCGTATTGTTCGGTCCCAGTTCCCGACTCCAGCTCCCACCTACACCCGACATCTGGACTGAACAGTAGGTCAATAACAATCCTATTACTTCATCCATTGTATAACACATTGTGGGACACGCGATGGGTAACAAACTTTGTTTACGATAACTTGACACTTAATACTAACTGGGTATATAATACGAGCAGGTGCATATTTGATTAATGTTAATCAAATTCTCTGATTAATTACCAAAAAGTGTAAATTTAGGTAAGTATTAGAGGTTATTTTATCAGAAGGAGATCTTTTATAAAATCATCTATAGCTATTTCTATTTCCGTTCCGTTGAAACAGTTGTGCTTAGATATCGTAAAATTACAGAGCATAGAGACATGAGGCCTTGGTTTTTCATGGGTGTCATAGTTTATAGTTGTTTTTTAGTATGTAGTTAATTTTTTCACTATGAAAATTTTAATGTCATTGTCATCATCACCATATCAGCCATTAATTGTTCACTGCTGAACATAGGCCTTCCCTGTAGAATGTCACAAAGAATGGTCCTAAGCTATTTGCATCCACTGACTTCCTGCAATGTAATTGAAATTATTAATCATTTCGGCATTTTAATTTTAATTGATTTTCTATGTTTGCAATACCAAAATTTCTCAGAAAATATTTGAAATATAAAGTACATACATTTTAAAAGTACATTTATTTAGATTTTTGTATTACACGTGCACTACTTTACTTACGAAACTGAACAAAGCAAAACCTTATATCCCAGGTCAACATTTACTTTTTGACCCGGAAAATGAAAGGGGTTTTTTACATAAAGCGAACGCTGATCC